AGAGGGAGAAAGAGATATGATGTAGAGAGAGAGAGAGAGAGAGAGAGAAACAGGCCTCCCCCACCCCACCCCAATGAAATCTTCGTTCCGGAGAAGCTAATAAAAGAGGTGTGCGCAAGTCAAGTCCCCGCACGCTCTTTTACTCAAGTGACGCTCCGTCACGGGTAGCCCTTCCCTCTGACCGCCAACTTCTCTTATCATAACTTATGCGGTTTTAACTGTGAATGAGAGCCTCTGCTTGATGAGCCGGTTCCTTCATCCGTTGTCTTTGACGATCCATATGTGCGGTATCATTAGCAATTGCCGGATTTCCTTTCGGGATGAGATTCACAATTTATATTATTGCCAATTTACTGGTCATCGTAGGCTTTTATTTTCGACTTGTTCTGACTAGTTTCAAGTAGATTGAGTCGTTCAGTCAGACGTCGACTCGCGCAATTCTCAATTCTTATTCTCCTCATCCACGTCTCCACTGTTTCTATTGTCCCCCCCCCTCCCACGCCTTTGGTGATTGTCACTAGCAACAATATATTTTTAGACCCTTGGCGTCTACTCGACTTTCTTCCAATATATATAATTTTTTCACACTTTTTATCATAAAACATGTGTACTTAATTAGTAAGCTTATAATGTAATTATTGAATTATCATATTTTTTACAAAAAATATTATACTCGTGACTCATTGTTGATTAAATTAAAAACATTTTTACATAAGAAATATTTGACTCCGACAACGAGAACTAATAACAAGAATGATTATAAGTCCGCTTGCTGATTAATAACTTATCGAATACTTGAAATCAAAGATAAAAAGTATGTAATTAATTTTGAATTATTTTTGTTTCTTATTATTTTTCCAGATATTTGAATAAATAACTAAATAAGTATAAATAATATATATATATATATATATTTTTATTTATTTATTACTTACTTAAAAAAAATCTGTTGTCTTTATTTATGGATTTGCGGTTAAGTATAAATTTAAATGAAAAATATATAAACGTAGGCATAACTTAAATGGACCAAACTATAATTAAAGGGACTTACGTATGATAAATTCGAATGAGAAGTTAATTAAAATATTATTTATAACACGGCGCCAAAGCGAATAAAAGCATATAGTATTGGTGCGACTGTCGATTGCAATATTATATCAATATATGTGACAGCTGCCGATATAATTGTCAAAAGTTTTAGACTTATACGACATAAATTATACGAAATAATACGACATAACTTTTGTTTAACATCATTCCTTCTAATGAGCATATTATATAAAGTTAAAAATGTCTACAGATGCTAAAAGTATAACAACGTCTTTCTTGATCGATATATTCAGCAATTTTTAATTTACATACATTAAATATTAATTTTCTTAATATATAAAATTATAAATTTATATCTGATATTACAATCAAGCCATTCTAATTTATAACATTTTCAGACGGCATTTATATTTTTTCACAATTTTTGAATTTTTTAACTTTAATATAGATAATAAAAAATTTCTTTCATAATACGTTAAGATGTCTATCTAAATTATTTCGTGTATATTCTATTACTAAATTATTGTATTATTTACTATTGCACTTCTTTTATTTAATGATATTTTTATTAACTTTCTAATTAAAAAATTTGGTGTAATTGTCAACTACTTACTTAACTACTTTCACATTAATTTTTTGATAATTATCAATAATTACATTGAAAAAAAATATTTTCTATGTTTTATACACCAATAAATCAATTTAAAAGTATTTTATCGGTCTAATCGTGTATATATATATATATATATATAACTTATATATTGTTAAACAATTATAAATGTTTAATCATTCTTCATATAATGTACATATGTCTTATTGTCATATTTAACATCTTTAGAATATCTTATTTATTATATTAGCTGACTTAACGAGATTTCGGTGGTGTTGCGTGATATCTGGACATTTGACTTTTTTCCAAGTTTTTTTCCACTATTATTTGGTATTCCACTATTATTGCATATAATATATTATACACATAATATTGTCTTTCTACATGTCGATCGTAGATAAAAATGTGTAGAATATTATCGTCTTGATGTATCATCTTTCCTTATAAAGTGTCATTTGCAAAAAAATTTTTTACATGTATTTATAGTTATTTTATTTTTATGCTTATACGAAAATTTGTATGTTTCGTAAATAATTATGCTTCACGGTAGTTGCAATTTCTGTTTTTTTTTTGTACAATTTATTGAAATAAAATGGCTAATAGAAAAAATGAAATAAAACCATTTTTTAATAATAAATAATGCAGTTGTGATACATTTTCTTAAAAAATTAATTTATTTGTTACATATTTAGATTAATAAAAAACAAGTAAATAAGACATTTTATTATTTAAAAAAATTAATTCTCTAATGACTTATTTTTACACCTATGACTAATGTTAAGGTAAATATGATTGCTTCATTTCTAATGTTTATTAATAAATAATAATTATTAAATTTATCTTGCTATATAAATTTCTTAATTGATAAGAAATAAGGTGGAAATTAAATTATTTAAATTTATCAATTGCCTACTATAGTTTTTTGGTTAAAGATTCGCGAAAGTTTTTAAATGTTTAAATAATTAGATATCGATGCATAATTGTGTTCTACATGATTAATATTTCTTATTAATTGAATGCATAAATTCAGTCTTTTGCTTACTCTACAATAAATATTCAATTATACTTATGTATACAATCTGGATTGTACATTCATTAATTACAATTAGTAATACATTTATTAATTTAAATATAAATCAATAGCTGAATAGATGTTTGAATTAATAATTTGATTTCTTTACTTCCGAATTATTTCACAATGTGCTTCAATGTCTTTTATATATGGGTGCGTTTTGTAAGTAATACTAATTTTTTATTGTGAATAAAGTCGAAGTGAATTAAGTCAATTTAGGTACATAATGTGTACGTACACACACACACACACACACGCGCGCGCGCGCGATATTATAGTACATAGTTATTAACTAAAAAAAAAAAAAATTAATTATGTTAATTAAAATTTTCAAAAGTATTTCTTTATTTACATGACTTATGTTATATTATATAACTAATAATAATTACATAAAAACAAATTTAAAAAGTATAAAATTTATTGTAAGTAATTATTTCTTATAATTATAATTAACCTTTCAATATTTAATAAAATGTCATGAAAAGCAATAAAAAGTTTTCTATCATAATATTATTAAATAATTTAAACAAATTATGAGATTCATATATATGTTTTATCCTTTTATTGAATGCTTCCAAGATTAATAATATATATAAAATTAAATAGAGTTAAGAATATACTCACATGGAATCAGTCAGTGTGCAAGGACTTTCTACATTTTGATTAACTGAATTAGACGTTGTAAGTGTATCAAGAGGTATCTAAAATAATGAAATGACAATGCATTAATTTGTCTATGTCATTTATAAAGATAAAAGAAACAATAAATTGATACATATACATATTTAAATATTTTTGATACTAGAATTTAAATAATTTTCTTTAAAAATCGTAAATATTAAAATAATTTGTAAATTTAAAACGAATTTCAATTATAGACATAATATTGAAAAAATTTATCATACATCATCTTGCGTATTCAGAGGAAGGATTATAATAACAAATTAGAAAAAAGAGTTGATGCACTCCGACTTTATCTAGATGGATAAATTGAAAAACTTTTGTCCAACGTTGAAAAGAGTCAAAGACATTCGACAGATCAATCTACCCTATTCAGAACGATAAAGACGATTTATACAATATAAATTGTCAATATTGACTTCGGTATTCAACGGATTTTTCAGGGCGACTTAATAAGTTAGTATCGATTGTAAAAAATAATAGTTGACTATATTGACTCGAACTCGTACCCTTAAAGATTTGAAGAATCTCGCTTTATCGACAATACAAGCTCAGTAATTCGGAATTCTTTTCTCGATTCTTACTTTTATTTTGTAGCATCGAGAGCACCCCCAATTTATCCCTTTAGATCAAGCCAAAATCCAACAATAAATACAGTATTAAATTTCTTTTTAGTCTTGTCTATGCCTTTCACTCACCTCCGTGATTTCACAAATAAGTGAATACATCAATCTAAGCCGAACTTAAGAGTTGAATATCTCCGTCCTAAATAATATTATTACAATTAATCTAATAATATTTATCATTAGATTAATTGTAGTAGCGATTTTTATTTCTTTAAGAGATTAAATTTTTTTCTCTTTAAAACATAAATACATGGCACATAGATACTTAAGAACTGAAAATTTATTTTACAATTAATCTTCAACAACTTTTCATCCAATGCACTCATTAATTTTGAATAACATGAATATTAGATGATAAGTAAAGGCTATATGTTTGATTGACTGAAATAGATTATTAAAATGCATAATTCATATAATTATACGAACAAATTATATTGCACTTACATCAGAGAGTATAGTACAATCATAACTCGGCTGATATTTGTCTTGTTCGTGTGGCGGTCGACGCTGTATTTTATCCCGGTCCTGCTTATGTTTGCGATCGGCTCCTTTCAACTTAAACACTTTTATTTTACACGAAGCTGCGTGTAGTTGGGTGCCACTAGGTAATCGTGTTTCCACCTGAATGCGAAATGGTACACCCTTCTCGCCACCGTGTTTCTTCGGCGTGAATTCTGTGCTAATACAGTTGATCTGTATACGAGAGAGGCGGGGAGAAGGGTCGAGGGATAGAGAGAAAGTGTCTGTTTATTATGGTAAATATATAAATATAAAAAGTGAAAGGTAATTATGAACAATAAGAATTAGTTATACAGTTATAAACAAGTACAAAAGATTTGTATAATCACAAGTAAAGAATTATTGAATGGATGCGCATACATATAAATTTAAACATTTAATTCTCTTTTTTAGGCTTTCATGGAGAGTCAAATTAATTAAGAATATTCTTTTGAAAATTTAAAATAGCTTACAAAACAATTCGAAAATACTTAAGTTTTTAACTGTCGTCATTTTAACTTACAAATGTAATAATACCGGAGTTTTATTGTTTTCTTCAATATAAAAGAAAAAATTGTGAAAAATGTATACAATGGAAATTTTTTTTTTAATGTATCCATTTGTTTTTTAAAAATATTTACATTTATACGAAAATAGAAGGAGTGATTTAACACACCGTTGTAAAAATTCAACCAACGAAACTTTGATTTTAAACTTAATGACGAAAAAAAATTCACCTTTATACAACAGCCGATTTCCTTATTGGGATTCCACGTGAAGTCAACGCTGTTATAGGAAGATGAAGGTTCGCATACGTCAATCATTCCATAGCTAAGAGGGACATCAACTTCTAGTAGACGTTCACCTGGCCTAGCCTGTTGCCATGCCAAAATTTGTTCGCGTTCAGTGTACTGAAGTCGACGCTCATGAAAGCAAATGCGAATCGTTGACTGGAGAATATAAGCATAATTTAGGATTATGAAATAGCTTGTTTAAATATAATTTTCGAAGTGTATAAATACTTAATCATTTTGTTTAAATTATAAAATAGCATTAATTATAATTTTGTTATAATTATTATTCGGTAACACAATTATTATATTATACATACTGTAACACAATTATTATATTATACATACGGTAACACAATTATTATATTATACAGTATAATTTACCTTTAAAAGTTTTCCACGATAAGTTGACAGATCGCCGAGTTTTTTCAATTTAATTTCGTATGATTGTCCCTGATTAAGATATGTCAAAGTTTCTTCGTTCACTTTGGTAGCAATGCTAGTTGCTGCAGCCAAAACGTATTGAAAGCTACAAGCACATTTTAGCCAAAGTTAATAATTTTTCAATTAATTTTATTCATTATGAATTTCATTAAATTTTATAGGAGCATAATTTTAAATTTTTAATTAATATAGTTAACGATTTATTTTTATTTTATTATGCAGAATTAACATAGACTTAAATCATTTCAAAGCAATAAGGTTTCAACAGTCTTGCTAAAAAAAAAAAAAAAACAAACAAACAAAAAAACTTTAATAAACAAGCTAGTTTATTTTTGCATTGATATTAGTATGTCGTCTCACTTTTTAATTGTCAGATTCTTTTATAAAAAAGGAATGTTAGTGAAATTACTCAAAATTCATTTTTACATACTTTCAAGCATATATATAAACTCACCAACATTTCTCATTGAACTCATTTTCTTGCTGAGAAGAAGATACATGATTGCCACAGGTAGAATTTGATGAATAGTCATCACTTGATGAATAGATTAACTGATGAAGATTTGTTGGATTTCGTCCACTATTAATACTGTCCGCTTCCACAAGACTGTTATTCCCATTGTTAGCCAATGAATCAGTACTAGTCTTTTGAGAGACATGGTTCAAACTAAAAAATCACAAATAAAAGTATATAAGAATCTACTTTAATAACGTAAAATAATTCAATTTTTTTAATTTTCATTTATGAATGTTTAATTTTGATAATCAAATAAAATGTAATGCAGTAAAATAGTTAATTTTATATCTTTACTATAATATGTACATATATTAATATGCACATATCACAAAGAATTTTTTATTTGTATAATATATATATATATATAAAATACCATATAATAGTTAAACTGACAATAGTTATTTCAAAAATTTTATACATATTCATTCTTCATAAATTTCAGTTTCATAATTATACAGTAGACAATATTAATTTAAACTAATTATCAAACTACATAAAATAATAAATGCAAGATATTTTTCATTATAAACATATATGTTTTTTTATTTTATAAACTCACATTTGATTGTGTTGATTTTCGGGTGATGGCGCTTCTTGTTTAAATACTGTGAGTGACGGTAAAGCTAACAAAGCCTCACTGTGATGAAAAAAAAAAGAAATATTTAGTTATAAAAGTCAAAAATACAAACATTATTCTAATTTAATAATACAATAATTTTTATCATATATGTATATATATATATATATATATATATAGATAAATATTATCGAGATATAAATGAATAGATCTACGAATTTTAAAATAATACATGAAATAAATATTCATGGCTTTATTTTAAACCTTTTATTATCAATATTTATTGTTGTAATATTCTTCATTGGTATGTAATGTATTAATTAAAATAATTTGTAGAGTATAAATAAAATGCATAATATATGTGTTATGTATATTTCTAATTATTCTATGTTTCTTTGTTATAAGCTATAAGTTATTAACTAAAAAATTAGCATTTTATTAGGTTATATCGTATTTTTTAATGTTCAGATCCATTTTGATTGACCTGAAATTAATTTATTGTGATTATTTAAATTGAATTTTAAAGATTGAAATTATTATTGAATTATACATATAATTTTTCTAATATTTGCATTATTAATTAAACATTTTTTAATACATTAAACATGATGCTGAGATTTTTCATTTACAAACTTTTTATAAACCAACTACATTCTATTTCTTATAATCGCTAAGCTAACATTAATCAGTTATCAAATATTTTTTTTATTTTTATTATATTAATAATTAGGATAAACATGCATGTACTACGTTTATATAAATAATTTTATATCAATCAGACGTTTGTACATCATTGCAATCTTTAATGTAAATTAAATTGAAAATGTATGTATCCTTTTTGCTTTCAATAGTCTTGATACATTAATATAAATTCTATATTTTTTTAATAATAAATTAATAAATATTTTGTAGATATTAAATGATTTTAATTTATTAATTATATTAGATTATTGATATATCAAATTTAACACTCATATACGAGAATAAATCAATTTATAAATTTAAGACATGCTTTTAAATAAATTTTTTGCGTGTTTGCGCGTATGATAAAACAACTTTGTTACATTGATTGACATTTAATTATATTATATTTATTATGGAATTATATTGAATAAAAAAATAATAATATTTATAGCAAGTTCATCTCAATTTTGATAAGTTCTGTTTGAATATTTAAACATAGAAAGAAATGAATTTGTGAAATATAATACACTTTTATATAAAAAAATGTCTTATATACTTTCTTTTAGTACTTTATTTAGTAATGTAATGTATTGTTTAGATTATACAAATTTTTATCGATGTTCTATATTAAAAATCCGCAATATAAAAACATAAAATAAACTTTCATACTATTTAAATTTAACAAATGTTCCTAGTATTTTAATCATTATAATGCGAATAGAATTATTTTTTCTAGACATTTGACTTTTAATATATACATATAAAAATGAAATAAAAAATACTTGTATTTTTAATGAAGAATTTAATTCATTTAAATTAAAAACTTTAAAAATCTATTTTAAATTTATTTTAAATTAAACCCGTTTTATAAAACAAAAAGAATAATCAATTGGTAAAAAAAAATGTTAAAATTAATTTATGAAATTGGATTGCAAAACATTTCATAGAATATTCCTTTAAATCGATACACTTCACTTTTAATATTTATCATTTTTTTTTCTTTTTTTTTTTTTTTTTTTTTTTTTTTATTTTTATGACATTCCAAAATCTTGTTAATCTTGAGAATTTTGGCCTTGGAAACTAATGGCATTTTATTATGTCTATTTTTTCGTTCTTTATTGCTGTACTTGGTCAAGACAGTGAAAGTCTATTCTATAAAATATCTATATCTATAGAAATATTCAAAATATTCTAATTTTATAAAAGTGAGAGTTTAATATTGTAAAATGCATTGATTGTGGTATACTGACCACTCTTGATATTCAAAAACAAACATTTTAAACGTTTTAAACATAAATACTTGTCAATTCATAAAATGTAATAAATGATTTATAAAATAATAGAGAAATAATAAAAAATAAAGTAATACTTTAAATATTACTTATATAAGTTTTTTTAAACTATACTTTATTCCTTACTTCAATTTATTATTGTATATTAATAATCTAAAGTCTTTTGAAATATTTTTTTGTTCTAATATTTTATTTGATAAAATATTAGATTAAGTACAGTTGAACTGGTTTGTATATTTATAATAGCATTTTTTTCAAGAATTATATCTAAATTCAATTTTTTGTTATAATTTAACCTTTGTGTTATAAAAAAAAAAAAAAAAAAAAAAAAAAAGTGGAATTACAATCTGGAAACTCATTTAACGAGGTAAGATAGATAAGGTGAAGCTGGTATATATATATATATATCTTTTTGGTTTAATTATCTTTAATCGGTGTTTTTCCACAGATAACGGACCTGTACTTGTGATATTTCTAAATATCTACGATTACTAGAATTTATTTAAAAAAAAGTTTGGTTTGCCTGCGTCGTATAAATGTCATAAAGTTCTTTTTTTCACAAATTGACATTTGAAAATATATGGAATTTTTATCTCGACTTAAGCATCTCAATAATCTTTCATTATTTCTTAGCATCTAACGTGAGCAAATAAAAACTTATTTATTAATTTTTATAAGACTTGTTCTTTAAAATTATTCGGAAACAAAATACACTAATATTTCAATATTTGATATAAGTAACGAAACGTTTCGAAAATCTTATAATATTTGCATTCGGCACATAATAAATTTTATTTTTATTTTGTGTATACTTACAATTATAACATTTCATTTTTATTATTTTTTATCTTGAATTACGCGTTGAACTTCATATTATATTAAATAATAAATTTCCAGTTAATTGAACTCCGTAAATAAATATTTAAAAATCTATTTTGCATGTGTTAGAACATGTTTAGCTCTTGTAATTGCTGATAGAAATTTGTATTAATTTATTTATTTTTAATGAAAGTTATATTTGCTTTTCATTTATTTGTGCTTTATAACGAGATTTTGCATTTTATCCCCCTTTTTATTATATAGAGAATCACTTGTTGCAAAGTAGTGATAGTTCATCACTAACTAATATGCGCACTTTGAATGAAACGATTGAAATTTATCAAATATTTACCGACTTTGCAACAAACCTTCTTTTTATCATGTTAGCATTGCTATAAATTTCAAGATACTAAATACTGAAGAAATCTTTTCCACTTTTATCACTGAACGTAAGTTGAAATGAAGCAATAGAAAAATTTAATAGTTCTTTCTTGAATAAAATATTTATCTTCGATTTTTTTTATTTCGATTATATCACTAAGTTCATTTTATAACTCATATACCCTTCCGTTTACTTTGTTTTTATTATTTCCGTTTCTTTATAGTTTGTAATAGTGGTTTATAGAGGGGGTAAGTTTATGAATAAACCAAATGTCGTATACATTTGAAGTTTATGATTACACAGAAGGAATTAAGTACCAATAGCTTCATATATTAGACAACGCGTTGGTAACGATGTCAATTAATGTGCGCAGTCGACTGGTTTCAATCCGATCAATTTTTCGCGCGGTTGTCTTGATTAGATTTGCCCATGTGTTAACTTAAATACTTGCATGCATGCATGCACATAGCAATACATATATTACATTGAAAATTACAAATAATGTTTATAATATATAAAAAGTTTCGTAATATTACAATGGCAAGTATTGGTATATGCATGTGTGGAAGTTTGTACATGCGTAAATATATACAATATGAGACTACGAAATCGTATTCAAACGATGACTGTACATATTACTAAACTTCGTTATCAACATATTATCTAATATATGAATCTTTTGAATATATTAGGCACACACACTTCACGGTCATCATATCCATCTCATTTATTTCATATTTTCTTTATTTTTATTAGAATAAAGTTAAGTAATACTCCATTAACAATTTGTTTCATACGTACAAATATTAACTTATGGATGAAAATTTAAGAGAAAACGTAATATTTTAAACAAGTTTTTATAAAAACGTATAATAATAGAATTCACTTTTATAATATTATATAATAATAAAATTAATAATAATAATAATAATAATAATATAATTACAAAATAATAATAATATAATATTTTATAAAAATTTAATTTATACAGTTGCGACTATTAGAAGAAGACAAGTTTCTTACGTTTTCAAAGATTATGTAATTGCTTTTGTGAAGTTTGGATAATGGGAAATCTTAATAAATTTGTTTGATATTTGATAATTAGCCATTTACAGATCTTAACTACAAAGTATTGTATTGTTCAAAAAAAATCTGTCATTTCAATAATATTTTGATATAAGTTAACAAAATAACACCAAGTTGTAATTAAAACATTATATTTAAAAATCTCAAGAATATATAAAAATATATATATATTTATTCAAAATTTTATAGGGATATATATTATGTCCGCTCCGTTTATAAAACTGCATATTATTAAATTAAAAAAAAAAATTTAATTATAAAACATCTGTTACTTTCATTATTATAAGAATCTTAAATATTGTTGTATATTTTAGAAATATTAATATAATTCTACATGAAACACAAATTTATGAGAATGATTAAATTCATAAATACATTATGAAACATCATAACACTTTCTTAAAAGTTGATATATTATCAACTCTTAATAACTATAAATTCCTCAAGAACATTTTGAATCTGTTGAAAATATAAAACAAACTGTAGCAGTCATATTGATAATGAGATATAAATTGCAAATCCATGCTAAAGGACAATGAAAGATATACCTCATATTATAAGAAGCAACAGCGGTTGCAAGATGAGAAGCTGCAAGAGCTGAAAGTGAACCATCATAATCCACAGCAAGGTGTTCCGCAATCTCTTCAACCTGAGTTGACCATCCCATAGAACTATTGCCTCCTATGGTTCATAAATGAAAATATACATTCATTAGGTACGTCTTAATATATGATAATAGTTAAATATAATTAGAACAATTTAAAAGCATTTTAGTAGAGTTTCAAATAGATTATATGCAATAATTAATTACAAATTCTCAGTTTTTATTCTGATAATATAAAATTAAGAATATTTCCTTAATGTTTTCACTAATATTAATTGGCTGTTTGTAGTAAAAATAAATAAATAATAAATATAACTTTTTTTTTAGTTTTTTAACTATAGTAGTCTTTCTAGTGGTGGTAAAAAATGTCAGCACTTTAAGCCTAAATTATAACAGATTTCAAATCATATATTTTTAATGATTTTAAAAGTTAGTGCTCTTATATATTAAAAGTATATGCATACTTTTATAAATGTGTTATAAATAATTATGGAGTAAAAACATATAGTCAATGAAGATTGATTAAAATCATAGCATTAATCGATTGACCAAATATTTGATTTATTAATTAATATAATATTTATAATTTTACTTATTTACATATCCTTATATTTTTGTAATAATAAATTGCCAGAAATTTAGAAAAATGTTAAATTATCAGAAAATATTAGAAAATTTAAGATAAAAATAAGAAAACATAATTTTAACCGGATAAAAACATGAATTTCGAATCTTATTATTATATGATCAAAAAAGTCTTACGTTTTCATTTTAAAAGACATAATAAAAATGTTTTTTATAAATATTTAACGAATTTTATTCATTTTCGATTTTTACAAAATTGTATTTCAAACACAATATTAAAAATTATTCTTCGTTATACTCTAGTTATATCATTACGTAACAATTATTTTAATAAATTTATTTTTCAATTTTATTTAAAAAATTTTCCAAATAAAGTTCTTTATTTTCAAACGATTGCCTTTTATTATTTTAATTATTTTTAAAATTATGAAATTCTACAAGTAAACGATTTTTTGTATATTTGGATATTTAAAATAAATATTATACATTAATGCGAGTTCGATATTCTATTGACTACAAACTGATTAATGAATATATCATACATATTTATATAAGATTATTATAATAATAATATAGTAGAAAATACATGCATACAATAATTTTCTTAGAAACTATTAAGATATCCTTGAAATAAGTATGATTACGAAGATACAATTATTACTTACGGAAATGTGATATAATGGTTACATATATATGTATTTATTATCTACTTATGTATTGCTTAACATAGTAAACTTTATAACAATTTTAAGTGTTACCTCTGAATAATTAATATACAGAAGCATGTGTTTTTTTGAAATTATAAAGAATTACGAATTACAATTTTATATAAAATTCACTACATAAAATTCAATACATAAAATAATTAATGTTATCATTTAACCATTGAAGTAAGAATTAATCGTAAAAACGCAAAAATTTTGTGAAATATTGATTAGAACATTGATACTTATATGGGCGATATACAAAAAATAAATAACTAATAAAAAATAAATTGTTGTTATACATATAAATTAAAAATAATTAATAGTTTTTTAATTTAAATTTGAATATCTGTTATAAAGTAAAATTAACAAAAATAGCCAATTTAACATTAAGTAACTATATCATTTTAAGTAATATTAAATATTTATATTAGACTCGTTATAATAATAATATTATTAATTTTTATATGAATTATATGTAAATATGTAAAATACAATATGCATATGCGCGCGCGCGCGCGCGTACACACACACAAACATGCTTACAAATGTACATATATATATATATATATATATATATATATATATATAACAAATTATACAATATATATTTTTTATTATTGAATCAATTTTACATTGTAACTATAATGCTTGTTAAAATCAGAAATAAAAAAGCACTAATATATAAAAATATTAATTAAAAGCAGAAGTATTAAAAATATATTAAGTAATAAGTATTTAATATATATTAATGAATAGTTATAGCACAAATAACTGTTAAGCATTAACAACACCTGCTGTTATTAGTATAAAATTAATAAACTAAAATCAGTAAATCGTGAGTCTACAAATATGGGATTATTTAATGTAGAAAGAAATAAACTCATAAACATTGCTTCTCTAAATTATTATAAACAGGTTTAATGACTCGTTTATTTAGACTTTGAATTCCTATTGTGAGAATATTAACATGGTTTATATAATAACATTACTTTTAAAAATTTTTTAAAGGATAAAATGTTTACATTTTTAAATTTGATAATATTTTTATAATTTTTATTTTATGGTTTTGTAAAATAAACATTTTCTAAAATAAAAATAAAACCAAGTTTTAAACATGAAAAAGTTTATTAAGAAATACGAACTAATAATATGTAATGTTCTAATTATTGATAGCAATTAGTTAAAAATATATAATCTTCATCATTTTATACTACTATAAACATTTTTAAGATTACTCTATATATTTATGTAATATATAAATAATTGAATTCATTGATTGTTTTAAAGTAAATAATTATGTAAATATTGTATTATTAAGTTTAATTTTATTTCTCTTATTCATACAAAATAATTAACGTTTTGAACGGGAATGATTACTTATCGATTATTTTATTATGCAAAATATTTTTATTACTATTTAGGTATTAATCTGAACATACCGAATTGTAATAATTATTTTTATTATAACCGCTGATTTCTATTTATTTTAGATGAAAATTATCGATTTATTATTGAATTGTTTGGACATTTTCAAATGATAATAGCATATATAAATTTTATAGATCATTGTGTTTACTTAGTCACCTGTATTGATGAAATTTCAAAGATCAAGAAAATCGAACAGAAGCTTAGATCAAATACGAATGTAAATAGAAACAGTAAATAATTGCACTAACATTTGTAAGCTTAAATTAACTTATGTATAATTAATTTCTTAAGATGATTTCAAATTATTTCCATTATTCTTTAATGTAAAATTTTATTAAACAGTTATTGATGTTTTGTAGTATCTTTAATTATATGTTTTAGAATCTTAAATTTTATTAAAAATTCATTGAAAAAAATTTGAATGACTATTTTTAGTATTTATATACAAATATTTATTTTAATTTCTTTTCTAAATGTTCATATGATGACACAAAACAATTCTAAAAATTGTAAAAATGTAATATAGTTAAGTGGTAGAGCTCCAAACTTATATACATGTTTCATTAATATTAAAGCAATTAAAGTTAATACAGATACAAATATAACTAAAAGCATTATTTGGAGAGCATTCGTTAATATTAATAAAAATGATTACATTAAATTTATATTGATTTAGAAGAGCCATAAATCTATATTTCTATTTGAGGAGTTTATTATATCGAAATAATTTTATCAATATTAAATGAGCAAAACCGTAAACTTGAAATTAGAAAAATACAATTTTTATGATGAATATATGCAAATGCTTTAATGTCTAATAATATCAAAATTAATTTTAATGTTATTGAAAATAATCATATTTTATTTTGACGTTTTTATTTTATATAAATTATCGCGTACTTTATCATAATAACAAAAACAAAATTATTCGATTATTTTGAATGTATTATGTTAAATGTTTCTAATATAATTTTCATAAAAAGTTTATTTTTCTCAATCATTATTTAATATTTAAACATTTTTTTTTGGAATTTTAGTGAATGCAACTTAAAAAATTTTTTTTTAATCATATTTATATCCCAGAAGCATAAATAGCATCTTCTTCCAAATATATATTTAAAAAGAATTTTCAACTCTTGTACTGTTAGAAAATTAATAATTAAGCTCTTGAAAAATTCGTTACTTTCGTTTCTCAACATTCGACAAACAATTAAACTCGCCTATTAATAAAAAAGGCACGAGGATAGAAAAATTACATCGTTTTTAATTTTGATTCATAATTGTATTATGAATTATTATTCCTAATCATTCTTCTTTTAGTTAGATAGGCTTAGAAAAAATTGATATAAAAAATATTAAATCAATATGAATTAGATTAACTTAGATGAATTAATATATAAAAGGTTTTTAGTTATCCCCAATTATTAGTGCAACAATTATTAAAAAAGGAAATATTATATTTTTATAAATAGAAATTCATTTATACAATAAAAATAATTTATAAATATTTAACAATGATTTTTTAAAAATAATTTCATATTAATTTATACACATAAACGAAGAAATAAATTCAATGTACTTATACATTTATAAAATATTAGTGCAGAATTTACGAATGATTTAAATATTTTTATACGAATCAAAATCTTAATACGAATTATAATTATTAAAATTAAATATATTTTAAAAAATTTTCATTTTAAATTCAATTTAAAATATTTTAAAATACTACAGGTTTTAGCTTATAAATACAATTTCTGTACAAAATTAGAAAGACCGTATAAAAATTTGTTAGTAATATGATTTAATAAAGTTGAATATAATTTATATTCTAACTTTGTGGTACCAAGTGATAATCCCATTATAAAGCAGTTCGACATTAAAGTCTTCACAATATGTAATGACTAACTGCTAAAACAAGATGGAGCGGATAATTAAAGGAAATCAATAAGAGACGTATAAACTGACCGTTTTTCCGTAAAACTTTCCTCTCTGGTTCATTGACCTCGTGTTGATGTTGGTGCGATTCATCACTACATCGCTTTAACGCTTGCGACTGCTGTTCTTGAAGGTTGGTCTGGCTGATCAAGAGCTTATATTCGGGTGATTGGCTACATGAACTTAGTGGTGAACTAGAGGGAGGATGATCGTGGTGCTGATGGTGATGGTTCTCTGGTGAGCCTTTTGGTGAGATTTGCTTACTCTGCCAAACATTATTTTGCGTTTCTTCATAATCCAGTGATGTCTTTTAGACGTATGCACAAAAGATTAAAGCTTGTTAGTCAACTTATAACTATTAAATAATGAGTGCATCTGTATTGATTTTTGTACAGGTAGATACAAATCCAAGGCAATTTTTTTTTTAATTTT